TCCCCAGAACCAAAACACTAATTCTGCTTTCTCTCCACACATGCTGCCAGACCCACTGTGTCTCTCCAGCAATTTCTGTTTTTGTTTCAAATTTCCACCATCCGCAGTTCTTTATTTTATAACAGCTACACAGTAAATGTCTTATGAGGAGAGATTAAGTAGATTGGGCCTGTACTTGTTGGAGTGTAGAAGAATGAGAGGTGACCTTATTGAAACATACAAGAGTCTTAGGGGACTTGACAGAGCAGATGTGGAAAGGTTGTTTGCCCTTGTAGGACAGTCCAAGACGAGAGGGTATAATCTCAGAATAAGAGGTTGTGCATTTATGAGAGATGAAGAGGAATTTTTTTCTCAGAGGATAGTGAATCTGTAAAATTCTTTACGACAGATGGCTATTGAGGCTGGGCTATTAAATACATTAAAGGCTGAAACTGACAGATTTTTAATCAGTAAGAGAATCAAGGCTTGTAGGAAAATGGAAGGAAAGTGGAGTTGAGAATTATCAGATTAACCACAATCTCACTCAATGGTGGAGCAGACTCAATGGGCTGAATGGCTTACTTGTTCAATTAATTGACTTATGGATTTCCTGAGCCAGTAGTTGGAATTCTGCTAAACCCTGAAAATGTCCCATTGCAACATGCAATGCAGCCACAAGCAAACAGAGCAATGGCCTGGCTTCACCACAATGAGAGGAGGTGGTGACACAGTTATAATATTGCTAGACTAATAATCCAGAGCTCCAAATTAACGTTCATAGAATCCCTACTGTGTGGAAACAGGCCCTTCAGCCCAACAAGTCCACACTGACCCTCAGAGCATCGCGCCTAGACCCATTCCCCCTATGACCCAACTAATCTGTACATCCCTAAACACTATGGGCAATTTCACACGGCTAATCCACCTAACCTGCACATCTTTGGACTGTGGGAGGAAACCGGAGCACCCAGAGGAAACCCACGCAGACACGGGGAGAATGTGCAAACTCCACACAGAGAGTCACCCAAGGGTGGAATCAAACCCAGGTTCCTGGCACTGTGAGGCATCAGTGCTAACCAGAGCCACTGTGCCGCCCATAAATACACTGAAGGATGAAACTGGCAGATTTTTAATTAGTAAGGGAATCAAGGGTTATAGGAAAATGGCAGGAAAGTGGAGTTGAGAATTATCAGATTAGCTCTAGAATCTTAGTTCTAGAATCATAGGTTCAAGTCCCACAATAACAGGTGGTGAAGTTTGAATTCCACAACAATTTGGAATAAAAAGCTTGTCTGACCACAATTATGTAACCATTTTTTGATTGTCATAAAAAAGGTCGCTGCTTGACATGCCCTTTAGGGAAGGAAATGTACCATCCTTACCAGATGTGTGTGTGGCACCAGATCCACAGCAATATGTGATTGTTTATGTGAGACTCTTAACTGCCTTCTGGACAAATAAGGATGGGCAAAAAATGCAGGTTTAGCTCACAAAGTGCACATCAAATTTTAAAAAAGGGCATAAAGGGAGCAATGGCTAGGAGTGGCCAAGAGTAAAGGCCAGGCTTGTAGAGCACCTTAATCCTATTGCAGGTTCACTGGGTTTTATTTCACCTATAAAACACAATGTAAACAATGACACATGATGCCAATCATGGGCGTTTCCTTTTTTTCAATGGCAACCTGGAAAACAGAAAGATGAAGGTAAAACAAGGAATTTTTGAAAGAGGACAGGGAAACGCATAGACAGGCATGAATCAATCCAAGCTGTGGCTTTGATCGTAGCACTGTCAAAGGTAATTTTAGAACATTGTACCCTGGGTTGGAAGGGTGCAGCTGAAAGGTACTTGAATTAGATAACAACCAATATTCATAGATTTCTGGTGAAGCACTCAAGCAGTGCATCAGCACCAGCCCTGGCCACCTCCCTTTGTAACCAGTGCACGTCGTGTTCTGCACCTTCCTCTCCTCCCTGTCCTCAAATGAGCTGTCCTCTTCAAGGTACAAACCTTTCTGCCTTACACTCCATTTTGCTGAAGTGCCGCAAGCATTTAAGGTACGAGTAGCTTTGGCTCAAAGTTTATGATCTGGAGGCTGGACTACAGACAAGGTGGTGCATCAGGAAGGGGCAAGTTATCTGAATGTTTTGACCCAGGAGGCAGTACTACGTCTCAGGGCTGGATCACCTTCTTTGGTCAGTATTCGGGGATAGGAGAGTGTCACTGGAAGTGACGCAAATAACAGGACCCAAAGGCAGCCTTTGCAATTATCACAACAGCTTTGAAGTTCTTTCAGTTCAGTCTGGATGCGTGAGGGCTGCAGAGTGGATGAGCCAACTGATCGTAACACGGTGATAGAGGAGGCCATTCAAAAGGGGGGAGCAAGAAGGAATGTAGTAAGAGTAGGAGACAGTACAATGAGAGGAATCAACATTATTTTCCACAGGACAGAGCGACTGTGTTGCCTGCTTAGCGCTACGATTCAGAACATCTGCTCAGGGCAGGAAAGGCACTGGCAGTGAGAGTTGGAGGATCCAGTTGTCAGGGTCCATGGGCAAAATTGGGAGGATAATGAAGGAGATTCTGACAAATCATTGTGAGGTAGGCTCCAAATTATGCAACAGAACTTCAAAAGAATAATCTTTGGATTATTATGTGAGCAAATTGGCATAGGATAAATCAAATTCGAGAGATGAAAATGTGGGTTTGCGAAAGCATAAAATGGGATTTGTACCAATGGGCCCATCTCCACCAGAGTATGGTTCAGGAAATGATAAACTGACCATGACAGGAAAGGACAGAGGTTAGAAATCTAAGAGTTAATCAACAGAAAAGACAGAATTTACAAAGAGAGTAAAACTAAAGGCTCTGCATTTGAATGCACATGACATTTGAAATAAGACAGATGAACCGAGAGAGCAAATACAAATTAATAAGTATGATCTGGTCGCCACTACAAAGATATGGCTGCAGACAACATTAACTGGGACCTAAATCTTGAAGGGCACAGGAAATTAGGAAAGGGTGGAGGGATGGCTCTATTAGTTAATGATAGTACGAGCACAATGTAGGAGTAGGACCCAATTTGAGGAAATGAATCTGTGGAAACAGTTGGGGACGAAATGACAAATGTTAAAGGCAAAAATTTACTTGTGAGGGTGTTGTACAGAATCCTAACAGTAGCAACATGACAGGGTGGAGCATAAAGGAAGAAATAATGACAGTTCGTCAGAAAGGCATGTCAATAATCATGGGGAATTTTGATCTACACATTTACTGGTAAAGTTGGATAGGCAAAGGAAGTCTCTATGAGGAGTTCACAGAATCTATGTGGGATAGATTCTTAGAGCAGTATGTTCGAGACCTGACTATGAAGCTGGCTATCCTAGGTCTGATACTGTGCAACAGGGTAGGTCTCATTAATAATCTCACAAACCTAGATAGCAATGACCATAATATAATTGCATTTTAAACTGAGTTCGAGAACTAGAGAAATGGGTCCAAGACTATTTTGTTAAATTTAAATAAGGGCAATTATGAGGTCAAGAATGCAAAGTAGCTAAAGTAAACTGGCAAATTAGGTTAAAGATAGGCCAATAGAGATGTAGTGGCAAACATTTAAGTGGAAATTTCAGAAAGCACAGAATAGATACATTTCACTGAGTAAGAAAAATTCCAATGGACAGACCCACCATCTGTAGTTCACTCAAAATGTTAAAGATAGTATCAAACTTAAAGAAAAAGCTTGCAATTACACACAGACACGTGGCAGGTCAATAGATTGGACAGATAGAAAAGAAAGAGCAAAGAATGACCAGAATAAGGCATCTGAAGCCTGTGAATATGCAGTCGTGTGTTTTCATTTGCAGGATACTGCCCAGGTCTGCAGCTAATCCTTCAAAGGAGCCAGAGGCAAAGACTTTGATTGGCACTGTCAGCTGATATGAGGGCATGGTAAGCAGAGCAATGAGAAGTGACAACTACCATGATGAGGAACAAATCTCAGTGATCATTTGCCTGGACAGGCACATTTTCCTGCCATAATTCGCTCTCTAAAATATTCAGGTAGATCGATGTTCAAATGTTGACACAATGCCTTCCTGTCCCTCAACTTTTTCTGCTGTCTTTTCATGCCTGGTGCTTTGCTTCTCCTGCAGTGGAACTTGCCCCTCTTTGCCACTACAGTGAAAATAAAAGGAACACATTCCAACTGCCAACTGATGACTGTCTTGTCCTCAGCTCTTTTAGCTTCCAGGGAATGAAGGGACATAATGACTCACTGCACCAGCAGAATGCACAAGGTCATACAAACAAATGAGCAAGGAATGGAGGCCGTTCAGTTCCTAGGGTCTGATGTAATCTCATATCTACAGTTCCACCAACCCCAATAACCTTTCACTCCTTGTAACTAGTGCAAAGCCATTGCTTATATAAATTTATGTTGTAGCTATGTCTGGCACCCATTATGGTGCCAGCTCCTTGCACTAGGTATACTACTGACCCAGTGTGCAACTCACATATCCCAATTAAATCCCAAGCAGACCCACAACAAATTCAGACAAGCTCCTTAACTTCTTCAATTGGGCAGTTTGCCAAAGCCCAATTTTTCCGATCTTGATGAAGATCATCAGTAGTGAAGAAGAAGGAAACTGGCATGCTGGTCAGCAGCACTAAATTTAGCAAATAACTGCCTGCCCCCTGCCTCTTCCTGGCAGGATCTAGAAGTCCGAACTGTAACCCTTAATCCCATTAATTTATCTAGCAGCACTTTATTTGTACTAATTCTCCCCCTTTTCAGCTTCCCACATTTCTCCCTTCTTTACTGGGGATTGGTTTCTTCTCCTTAGCCTGAGGCACAAAGATCAATTGTGGCAAATCTCCTGAAAACAGCTGAATAGAACAAGAACTCAACAACCTTGTAGTTTTGAAGGGTTGTAGTGCATCTATTCGTTAAACCATAAGATAATTGCAGTTTTGAAATTTGGAAGCATGCAGTATTATTGATAAGTTACAGCTTACTCACTTGGTGACGATTGCGATCTTTACACCAAAGACTCCAGTTTGTTTTCGAGATGGCATCCGTTTCAAACTGAACTCCCGACTGGTAAATTTCATCGATAACTTCACCTCAATCTAGGGAAGAGTAAACAATTCTGATTTTTGGACATATTGTAAAAAGTGACTCAGAATAACTCAGAAAGTGCAAGTTTATTAAATAATCTAAGCTGTTTACTAACTTTTGGACATATGGAATCATCAATCTGGTACTACAGTAAAAAAAAAGTTAGACACTGTCCTTTCTTATCCATTACCTAGATTTAATTTCAGCCAATTAGAGAAAATAAAATGAGAAACAGATCTGTCACATTAATGGCTGACTGCAGGGGTCCTAAGAACAGTCAGTTTAAAAAATTTAATCCTATTCCCAGAATGTTTTGATCACAAAGCATCTAATTTGGCACAAACTTAATCTTTGGGAAGCTAATTTCTGGTACTGGAAATAAAATGATACACTGGCATAAACAGAATGCTCGTCTGGCTATCAAAGGAGCCTTATTCTGCAGCTATCAAATCAACACTGAGCCTAACCTAGGCATGCTCAACGCTAGAGACAACAAGGTGTAGAGCTGGATAAACACAGCAGGCCAAGCAGCATCAGAGGAGCAGGAAGGCTGACGTTTTGGGCCTAGACCCTTCTTCAGAAATGGGAGAGGGGAAGGGGGTTCTGAAATAAATAGGGAGAGAGGGGGAGGCGGATAGAAGATGGATAGAGGAGAAGATAGGTGGAGAGGAGATAGACAGGTCAAAGAGGTGGGATGAGGTTAGTAGGTAGGAGATGGGGGTGGGGCTTGAGGTGGGAGGAGTGGATAGGTGGGAGGAAGGACAGGTTAGGGAGGCGGGGACGAGCTGGGCTGGTTTTGGGATGCGGTAGGTGGAGGGGAGATTTTGAAGCTTGTGAAGTCCACATTGATACCATTGGGCTGCAGGGTTCGCAAGCGGAATATGAGTTGCTGTTCCTGCAACCTTCGGGTGGCATCGTTGTGGCACTGCAGAAGGCCCAGGATGGACATGTCGTCTGAGGAATGGGAGGGGGAGTTGAAATGGTTCACGACAGGGAGATGCAGTTGTTTAGAACGAACCGAGCGTAGGTGTGCTGCAAAGCGGTCCCCAAGCCTCCGCTTGGTTTCCCCAATGTAGAGGAGGCCACAACGGAAACAGCGGATGCAGTATACCACATTAGCAGATGTGCAGGTGAACTTCTGCTTGATGTGGAAAGTCTTCTTGGGGCCTGGGATAGGGGTGAGGGTGGAGGTGTCGGGGCAGGTGTAGCACTTCCTGCGGTTGCAGCGAAAAGTGCCGGGTGTGGTGGGGCTGGAGGGGAGTGAGGAGCGGACAAGGGAGTCACGGAGAGAGTGGTCCCTTCGGAAAGCAGATAAAGCGGGGGAGGGGGGAGGGAAAAATGTCTTTGGTGGTGGGGTCGGATTGCAGATGGCAGAAGTGTTGGAGGATGATGCGTTGGATCCGGAGGTTGGTGGGGTGGTACGTGAGGACGAGGGGTATTCTGTTTTGGTTGTTATTGCTGGGAGGGGGTTTCAAGGATGAGTTGCGGGAAATGCGGGAGACACGATCGAGGGCATTCTCGACCACTGAAGGGGGGAAGATGCGGTCCTTGAAAAACAAGGACATCTGAGATGTATGGGAGTGGAATGCCTCAACCTGGGAGTGGAAGGTGTTGGTGAAGTGGATGAACAGTTCGAGCTCCTCGTGGGAGCACGAGGCGGCGCCAATACAGTCATCAATGTAACGGAGGAAGAGGTGGGGTTTAGGGCTAGTGTAGCTACAGAAGAGGGATTGTTCCATGTAACCTACAAAGAGGCAGGCATAGCTTGGGCCCATGCGGAGGGAGGAGGGTCGCCATTGGCCATGTGGCCACTTTCAGAGCACGCACGGATGACGTCACATCCACCACTGCCGCCGGGTACACCACTTCCGGGACAGCGAACGCCATCGACACCGCTGCTGATGCCACCGCCTCCATTTCTGAGGCCAACACCACAGACACTGAGGATGCGCCTACCGACACCGCTCCGCCCACTGCTGACGCAACTCCGCCCACCACCAACGCCGACACAATGCCGCCCACCACCGACGCTGGCGCAACTCCACCCACCACCAACGCAACTCCCGCCCACCACCGACGCTGACGTCGCTCCACCCATCGCCTCCACAGCCAGCAGCTCCAGAGGAGACAGCAGCACCCAGCCCTGCCGAGTCTTCACCATCCCCCCAGACCTCCCCCTTACTGAGGACAAACGGTCAGTCCTCAGTAAAGGGCTCACCTTTGTCCCCCTCCACCCACACATCAACGAAAACTGCTCACGCTTGGACGTTGAACAGTTTTTCCGCCGCCTCCGCCCTTACTTCTTTAACCGTGAGCCTAACCCTCCCTCTACTGACCCCTTCTCCCGCCTCCAACACACCCCCTCCTTCTGGACACCACCCAAAGGCCTCCTACCCTCTCTTGACCTCGTCATTTCCAACTGCTGTCGAGACATCAATCGCCTCAACCTCTCCACCCCCTCACCCACTCCAACCTCTTCCCCGCAGAACGTGCAGCCCTCCGCTCCAATCCCAACCTCACCATAAAACCCGCGGACAGGGGAGGCGCAGTTGTAGTATGGCGCACTGACCTCTACATCGCCAAGGCCAGGCGCCAACTCTCCGACACCTCTTCCTACCGCCCCCTTGATCATGACCCCATCCCCGAGCACCAAACCATCATCTGCCAAAACATCCACAACCTCATCACCTCAGGTGACCTCCCACCCACAGCCTCCAATCTCATCGTTCCCCAACCCGGCACCGCCCGCTTCTACCTCCTTCCCAAAATCCACAAACCTGACTGCCCTGGTCGACCCATTGTCTCCGCCTGCTCCTGCCCCAGCGAACTTATCTCCACCTATCTGGACTCCATTTTCTCCACCTTGGTCCAGGAACTCCCTACCTACGTCCGTGACACCACCCACGCCCTCCATCTCCTCCAGAACTTCCAATTCCCCGGTACCCAACACCTCATCTTTACCATGGACGTCCAGTCCCTATACACCTGCATTCCCCATAGAGATGGCCTAAAGGCCCTCCGCTTCTTCCTGTCCTGCAAGCCCGACCAGTCCCCTTCCACTGACACCCTCATCTACTTAGCTGAACTCGTCCTCACTCTCAACAACTTCTCTTTCAATTCCTCCCACTTCCTACAGACAAAGGGGGTGGCTATGGGTACCTGCATGGGCCCAAGCTATGCCTGCCTCTTTGCAGGTTACGTGGAACAATCCCTCTTCCGTAGCTACACTGGCCCTAAACCCCACCTCTTCCTCCGTTACATTGATGACTGTATCAGCGCCACCTCGTGCTCCCACGAGGAGCTCGAACTGTTCATCCACTTCACCAACACCTTCCACCCCAACCTTAAGTTCTCCTGGACCATCTCTGATACCTCTCTCTCCTTCCTGGACCTCTCTGTTTCCATCTCTGGCAACCACCTAGAAACCGATATCCATTTCAAGCCCACCGACTCCCACAGCTATCTGGAATACACCTCCTCCCACCCACCTTCCTGCAAAAATGCCATCCCCTATTCCCAATTCCTTCGCCTCCACCGCATCTGCTCCCAGGATGAGGCATTCCACTCCCGTACATCTCAGATGTCCTCGTTTTTCAAGGACAGCAACTCCCCCCGCTCAGTGGTCGAGAACGCCTTCGATCGTGTCTCCCGCATTTCCTGCAACTCATCACTCACACCCCCTCACCGCGATAACAACCAAAACAGAATACCCCTCGTCCTCATGTACCAGCCCACCAACCTCCGGATCCAACGCATCATCCTCCGACACTTCCGCCATCTGCAATCCGACCCCACCACCAAAGACATCTTTACCTCCTCACCCTTATCTGCTTTCTGAAGGGACCACTCTCTCCGTGACTCCCTTGTCCGCTCCTCACTCCCCTCCAGCCCCACTGCACCCGGCACTTTTCCCTGCAACCGCAGGAAGGGCTACACCTGCCCCAACACCTCCCTGCTCCAATCCTATCCCAGGCCCCAAGAAGACTTTCCACATCAAGCAGATGTTCACCTGCACATCTGCTAACGTGGTATACTGCATCCGCTGTTCCCATTGTGGCCTCCTCTACATCGAGGAAACCAAGTGGAAGCTTGAGGACCGCTTTGCAGAACACCTACGCTCGGTTCGTACTAAACAACTGCACCTCCCAGTCGTGAACCATTTCAACTGCCCCTCCCATTCCGCAGACGACATGTCTATCCTGGGCCTCCTGCAGTGCCACAACGATGCCACCCGAAGGTTGCAGGAACAGCAGCTTATATTCCGCTTGCGAACCCTGCAGCCCAATGGTATCAATGTGGACTTCACAAGCTTCAAAATCTCCCCTCCACCTACCGCATCCCAAAACCAGCCCAGCTCGTCCCTGCCTCCCTAACCTGTCCTTCCTCCCACCTATCCCCTCCTCCCACCTCAAGCCCCACCCCCATCTCCTACCTACTAACCTCATCCCGCCCCCTTGACCTGTCCGTCCTCTCTGGACTGACCTATCTCCTCCCTAACTCCCCACCTACACTCACCTTTACTGGCTCCATCCCCGCTTCTTTGATCTGTCTATCTCCTCTCCATCTATCTTCTCCTCTATCCATCTTCTATCCGCCTCCCCCTCTCTCCCTATTTACTTCAGAACCCCCTTCCCCTCCCCCATTTCTGAAGAAGGGTCTAGGCCTGAAACGTCAGCCTTCCTGCTCCTCTGATGCTGCTTGGCCTGCTGTGTTCATCCAGCTCTACACCTTGTTATCTCAGATTCTCCAGCATCTGCAGTTCCTACTATGTTGAATGCTAGCATTGATTGCATTGATTATTAATTGTAGTGTGCTGTGGTTTTGTCCCTTAAGATTAAATCCAGAAACATGAAGGCTCAGCAATAAACCATGTGCTATACCGACTTGAATAGGATTGTCAGTCCTCATGGATTGCTTGGTTTCTTAATAAATTAGACATTAAACTCCAGGACACAGCTGCTCGTATTCCAGGAAATAAAAATCAGAGGGTTATTTAAAAAAAGAGCACTTC